GGTCGATCTTGGCAGAGGAGCTTGCACCAGCAGGGTCAATGAAGGACAGTGGCAATGGACAAAGCTAGAGAGAACGATGTCTAGAAAAATGGGAAGACATGGAATAGCCTACATGTAATATAAAGAGGCTAGTCTAGGTTAGGGAAATCATAAATGGTCGCTTTTAAGCACAAGAGGGCTATCCCGAAAAAAGCTGTTTTGATCAAATCGAAGGTAAAGTTTTTGCCTCTTGTTCAGTTTCTTTAAAAGACCAGGGGAGTTTCTATAACCAAACAAATAAACACACCAATGAAGCCAAACTTCTCAAGCAGGTAGGGCAATGCCCACTTTTGGTGCAGGTCAAGATTTCTGGAAACCCCCGAAATGTGGGTTAGCCCGCTTGTCCTTAAAAGCGACCAAAATGTGAAAAGTGCTTAATTGTGTGTGGCCTAAACCCTGATCCAATGTGAGAAAGTCATTGATGATGATAATCGTCTTCACCATCATCTGTAGGGTTGTTGACTATTGGAGCGCCATGGATGACTCTAAGTAATCTCATTCCTCTCCTTTCAATTTTTGGATTTACTCATATGATATGATAGTCTCATAATTTTTCAGGCCGGTCCACTCTGAGATGTTATTCTACCATTCTTTGTTTTCCTTCTATCCATACACGACATACAGTCTTTGATAGTCCGCATGATCTTGCGACAAGTCCAATACTATCGTAGTTTTTGTGTGTGTCTTTTCAGAGAGGACAGCAGGTCACTGATCATGCAGGGCCCGGCATTTCCCCGAAATGTTTCTACAACTTCTTCTTTACTTATGCGATACATGCGATACATGCGATACATGCGATACATGCGATACATGCGATACATGCGATACATGTATTTGTCAGATACACAAGGGGTATTTTACCAAGTTCTATATAGGTCTTTTTCTTCTCCTTTCCAGGTTGATAAGGGCGTTAAACCTATACAATTTTTTTCCTTTCCAGACTTTGAATCTTCCTCTCAAGTTCTGTTGTCAATATCTTTGGCTCGCACACATAAGAAAATGGACAGATTACAGTGACGTACAGGTGTTTAACTCAAGATACTATTATCATATTATTACCTGGCCCACGAGAGAAAATAAGGTACATGTGCGGGTAGTCCGCCCTGCGCATAAAGAGGATCCAGGTTTTCTTGAACAAGTCTCTAAGAAAGTTACTGAGGACCCGATGGACAGACATGGTTACGAACGAGGAAGTGTTAAGGAAAACAAGACAGATCCCAGTCAGAGATGAGGTAGGAAGAAGACGGTGGCGATGGATTGGACATACTCTCAGGAAGTCAGGCAGCTGCGTAACAAAGAAACTTGTGTTGGGTTGAAATCCACATGGTTTAAGATATCAAGGGGAAGACCGCGTGGAACCTGGAGAAGAATAACAGAAATTGATGGACAGAAGAGTGGGAAGATAAGATAAGATAAGATACATCTTTATTGTCCAGATCCTGGCACTTATGGTTTGGTGTTCCACCACGAGCACACACACACACACACACACACACACACACACACACACACACACACACACACACACACGTACACACACATGCACACACAAGTAGGCTTACAATCACATGCATAATATAAATGAGAGCAGCAATATAAACAATAATAATCGTAAGCTAGATACACACTCAGTGTTATTTTGATGCATGCTCTAAGGTCGTAAGTATACTTATACAAGATGGTTAAGATGGAAGCATTTTGATAGATGATGGTAAAAATGACCTTCTGTGTCTTTCTTTATTACAGATCAGAAGCCTAGGTCTTTTACTTCTGACTGATGTTTTTATTATGATGGGAAGATGGAATAACATCAATTTAAGAGGCTAGCCCAGGATAGAGAAGGTGGAAAGTGTTTGTCCGTGGCCTATACCCTGGTGCAGGGTGAGAAAGGCAATAATGATGATGATGATGATGATGATGATGATGATGATGATGATGATGATGATGATGATGATGATGATGATGATGATGAAGCCGTCCTGCGAATCTCCATAACACAGAAAATATATAAACAAATTTGTTGCCGATAAAAGATGCCAAACATCCTGCTCTGACAAACTGGCATAAGAGTAAAAATTGGCATACATGGATTTGTTATTATTGTAAACTTTGGTCTGTTTATTTTATTTTATTTTATTTTATTTTATTTTATTTTATTTTATTTTATTTTATTTTATTTATTTTATTTTATTTATTTATTATTGTAGGATTAGGCCCGGTTTTTTCCCACTGCTTCAATGGGTGTTTATCCAGTTTGGCCCGTAACCGTAAGTGTTATTTGAGTTTGGTCCCCTGGGCGATTGAATTGGGTTTGACACCCCAGATGAGGTAGCGTACCTGTCTGGTCTTTGAACTGTTGTCCAAGATCAGATAATAATATGGTCTGTGATCATGGCTGTGATCTTGGTGATTTTGACAAAGACTTTGGGTTTTGATCCTTCGTTCGAGACGATCGCTCTCAGATATAGAAGAAACACATTATCTGAAACTTCACCACGGCTTCCAGCTTCTGACCTTTGATTTTGACAACATCGCTGATTCCGCCTGCGTTTTCAGTCACCTTTTTAAAAAAAAAAATCTTTGCTTACAATAATTCCCCCATTTTGTAAGATGTGGGGACTTGGTCGAGGTTTGTCTCTAAACTGACCATTTCCTCTTCCTCCTTTCCCGTAAGTCTGTCTACGTCTTCAGCGAGTTGTCACGGCCCCATCGACATAATTTAGACCATGTAGAAGGCAGCTTTCCGACCCTACTCTGTCCCCGTAGTTTTATGCAAGACAAATAATGAAATTGTGCAAACTGAGCCCAAAAATGTGAAATTATGCGATTCTGTTAATTTTAATAAAGAGTGATAAAGGAAAATATCAATCAGAAATTATGCAAAAAATGATCAAATTTCGCTAAAGTATGCGGGATGCATAAAACCACAGGGACAACAGCTACTTGCCAGGGCTAAACCGGGCTGAGCGGGATACATCCCAGCAGAGAGACCGAGATACTCGATAAAAATCTTGTCCCCCCTCGGGAAACGAACTCGGGTCTTTTACCGTGCTACAGCGAAGCGCCTATTATAACTACTACACCACAATCGCGGGGGGGGGGGGGGGGGGGGGGG